GGCATCAAGCTAACTCCCCTTCCTGTGCCACTCCCCACCCCCTCCAGCTGTGACCTGGTGCTGCAGTTTGCAGGGGCATAGATCGTCTTGGAGGGCGGGGTAGGGAGAATGGTAGGGGAGCATGGTAGGGGGCCAGACTGAGGTCCCCATGAGCTGGGGTTCGCTCTCAGGGCAGGAGCAGTGTCCCCATAAACTGGGGCTACCCAGTCCAGTAAAACATGAGACTTTCTTTAAATTTACTTACTCTTAATTACTTTAGTTTATTTCTTGCTTTTTTATTTTATCCTTGTGTGGCTTCAGTGGCTGGCAGACTTCATTTAACCACCCAGCCCTCAGCTGCCATTTCCACCCACTGTCTCTTCATCTCCCATTTCACTATCCAGTACTCAACATTAAACTCTCTCCCTTCCAGCCTTATGCTCCCGCCCCCACCTAGAACAGGGATAGAAGCCTGTCCTGGCTCACAAACCCTGTAGTGGCAACTCTTACTGCTTATTACTCTTTTTGCTCCTTTTCTTCTTTTTACGTGGGTTAACTTTAAAATATTCTTAGTTTGACACCCATGTTTTAAACTCTGCTTTGACACATCATTTTTATAAGAGAATATAGTTTTTGTTGTTTACGTGTGAACATTAACACATTTTTAATGAAAAATGGTTGAAAGTAGAAACTTAAGGTTTGGCTTAACAGTTCTATACAGAAAGAAAAGCAATTCAGAGAGAACTAGTATGATACTTCAAGGTTTTGTATAAAGATGACGTGTCCAAGAATGAATATATGTTTCTAATGGCTAGGGATTTTTGTTCTCTCTGTCTGCAGTGCCCTCATTCTAGCAAACACTAGGCATATCAAAAACAATGAACTAGCTAGTTAAAGAAAGCTACTTTTTTTTGTTTACAGTTCTTGTTTCTTAGCACCTTTCCTTATTTTCCATTTTTTCCTTTTAAAACCTGGAAATTAGGTGCAAAAGACAAGGGTTAATAAAATCCTGCTGTTGAGAAATCAAACGTGTGCAAGGTTCTCTCTCTCTCATGCTGGGCAGATGTCATATTTTTTATTACTCCCTTCTCTGTTAAAAATGTGGACATCAAAGCAGTTATATCCTGGAGGTGTCTCTAGAAAATGTCACAGCAAGCCTCATTGCCTAGTTTTTCTATCAATTATTTACGGTTTGTCAGTAGAGAGATCTGTTTTTACCTACCACCCCCACAGAGTCATCCTGACCTTTCATATCATCCTCAGTAACAAACTCCACAGGCCAATTTAAGCCTTACGTTATAGTTGTGCAGTCTCATTGTAATTACATTGAACCTTCAGTGCCACCTAGGCAATGGGATAACACAGGTATAATATATTTGAATGTAAAAAAGTCTATGGATAAGAATCTAGTTAACTCAGTTTTAGCTATGGGGGGAAGGGCTGTGTAAACAGAGATAAAAAGTATGCTTTTCATTACAGTACCAAGTGGTATGATTTTAAATCAAGGCAATTTAAATATTTCCTTTTAAATCACTTAAAGGAGGAGGGGGCACAGGGGAACCACTGACACATAGCTGCATCATACCACCCATCTTTTCCACAGTGCTCCCCTTTACCACCAGGCCTGCTGCTCCACTGTGCCTGCACTTCTCTCACTGCAGAGAGGCTGGGACCCTGCAGTAAAGGTGAGTACAGAAAGCTGGGTGTGCTGGGGTGGGAGGGATGGAGTGGAGACATGCAGCCTACAGTGATAGCTAGGTTGCTCTGCCCTATTCAGGCAAAAGATTTTCAAGCCATGATCTGTGTAAATCAGGCTTTCCAAAATAAATTCCAAAATCTACATTATTATAACTTTATATTAAAAGGTATCACTAAATTATGAATGCTATTTTTAAAGCCATCACTGGCTTCTTTTACATCTATTTTTAGAAATTTTGGAAACCACTGTCAGCAGGAAATAAGATGACAAAAATTCAAGCTCTCCTGCAAAAATTTAATGAACTGATTATTTCCCTCATGAATAGTTTTCAAAGCGTCTAGTCATGTGTTTCAAGTTCAGCATGTGCATACGTAGCATCAGGAGCTTATGTTGTATGTTTAATAGTAAGCTCTCTGATGGTAATATATATATTTTTTGTCATTTCAGAAAATTGCTCCAGTGGTAACAATCTAAAGTTATTTTTACAGTACTTTATTATTATTTTTGTTTGTTTATTCAATTTGCATGCTGTAAACTGTTTTAGACACTTGACCCCATATTATCAAAACAGGGGAATTAAATTAAGGTCCCAGAGTAAAATTTTCAAAAGTACACACAAGCCAGATGCAAGAAAGGGCTTAGATTCCCGAAGTGGGATCCAACCAGAATTTAGGCACGTGAGTCCAAAACTGCCCCTCAACAGCTGTCTAACTGTAGAAGCAATTAAATTCTCTGGGTGTCTTGGTTGCCCCTGGGGAGCCAGTATTTTATTTTCAGTAGTGTTTTTTTCTCTCCCGACAACAGATTTCACAGGCATTGCCAATTTCATGGGCAATTCCAGATTTTGTGGTTTTGGTAGGTCCCTATTAATATGACATCTAAGCTCCAGAGATGGGTGAAATTTAAGACACACCTGTGCCCTGAGCATTTTCTATCAGCTAGCTGTAGATGTCTGCCAACAGAGAAAATGTCTACATGATGTTCTGAGCAAATGCTTTAGAAAACTTTTCCTAAAATGTTTTGGGCAATTACTGCAGAGTACAGAAAGACTTCTGAATCTTAATCTTCATGGCCAAAAATTAACTTGGCCCCACAAAAAATGACGAGGCAAGTCATGTTTGCTAGGAAACCTGGAAAAATGTACAGTTGCTATGCAACACTTCAAGACTATTTTTCTATTGAAATTGGCTTAAAGCTTTGCTCTAATTAAAAGTACCGCTTCCCCCCACACCTGCAAGGCACATGTAAAGATGCCCAGTAAGGCTAAAAACAAAGCTCTGAATCTCCCCATCCTAGTCCTTCATGATACCTTCTTCCCTGATAACTGTGGATGCCACAATCATTCTGGTGGTCATTTAGGCATTATACCCTCTCTCTATGTTCTCATATCTAGGTGGCATCTAATCTTGTCTTTTCTTCTTGTGTATTGTCTTAAAAATGGACTTTCCCATCCTTCATACAGCTAAAACTCTCACCCTAACTAGTGCCCGAATTACTGCCACATCCTTTTTTGGCCTTGACAAATACAATACTACCCCTGTACGCCCATCTGGACTGGCGGGGACTGTTGCTGGCAATCCCATCTTGGATTTAAGCAAATATGGTAGTTATTATGGTTATAACAACAACTTTATTATATGTTGAGTTAGCTGTTAATTAAAAATTATTCTAAATAAAAAATGACTTCCTCCATCAGATTACTAATAGTTTTACAGATAGGCATAGTGTAAACCAAACAAGATACACAAGACCTGGATTCCTAATGAGTGAAAAAAATAAAACCTTTTCCTTGGCCTTTCCAATAAAATATATAACATATTTTTAAAATGACAAACATCTTCCTTTTCTTTGTGGAATACCTTTAAAAGTTTCCTTATGGTGTACCCAGGCTGTGATGGTGAAATTTTCTATAATTGTCTATAATCTCCTATTACTTTCTGGGGAATTTCACTGGTCCACAGACTCCTGTTTTAGGGCAATATACTTTTTAGGAAGGTTTGAAGTTAACCTCATTTTTCAGTCACAGCTCTATGCTTTCTCATACTCAATGACCCACATCAAAGTGCCCCTAGTTGAGGCATCAGGTCATCTTCTGAACTAACCAAAAAGGGCCAGTAAGGGGACTCATGATGTGAAATTTTGCTTGCCTGATAAGCCAGAGTCTTGACCAGAAACCCAAATCCTGTGGTTAGTGCAGAGAAGAATGGCCCTGTGGTTAGCAATGGACTAGCACACAGAACTACCTTTTGATACTTCCTAAAGCCCCATTCTTAGAATAAAGATGTACAAAATAATCTTGTGTCAAAGAAACCTAGGTTTGTATAAAGTATTCACATAGGCCATAGAAAGCTGAGTTCTGAAGACAGCTCAGTCTTAAGTGATAACATTCATTTGCTATTTTTAGAGGTTGCTTGCTGTCTTCAAAGGCATGCTTAATCTGCTGCAGCAGACTAAGCCAAGTACATAAACATTGCTTAGGAATACCCCTCTATATTTTACCCTGAATTGCTTTAACATGTTTTAAAAACTGTCTGTTGAACTTGAAGAGGAGAAAAAGGACATATTTAAAATGACTTATTTAAAGAAGACCTGCTGCGGTATTTTTTAAAGGCCAACTTTGTTAATATAATTTTGGTCCTGGAAACAAATCTGTTGATTGATTGTTCATGGTTCTAAGTCAATCCAGTTTTATCATATTTGTTACTAAGGTCCCAAAACTATAAGCACATCACTAGTGCCATATGCAATCAAAACATGTACATAAGTTTTGCAGGAACACATAATAGAGTCCTCTCACAAAAAGATTCTTTTAGGGCCTGATGCAAAACCCATTGAAATCAATGGGAATATCTTATTCAATGTCAGTGGTCTTCAAATCAAATTCTCAAGTTAGCATTTTATTAGGTACCATGTGGCGCAGGCATGTCCAGTAAAGCTGGCATTTATTGCATTAGCCTAATACATAAAGAATATTGCAAGTAACCTCAATATGACATGTTCCATTTTTCCTTGGTAAGGGTTTGATATAGTAAATGAGAGTTGTCACATGCAGTCACATACATGGCCTACCCTGCTGTGGTGGCGTGAACACTGGGGCGAGGGATTGGGAGATTGATGCCATAGCAGAAGTGCTCATGGTGCGACCCTGTCAGATTCCAATGAATCTGCAAATGCTGCTCAATACCTTGTCATGAGGACATGAGAAGGAAAGGGAGGACATACATGGCATTTTTATACCCGTTCTAGAAAGACCCTTTTCTCTGCTATGCCAATAAGCCTCCTGTGCATCTAAGGCTGGCTCACACAACATACGTAACCTTACCTTTAGCTGCACTAGATGCACATCTACATGCTTGCTGTCCGAGTCCTGCTGGACTGAATAGGTCAAGTCCCTGACTCTCTCTGACGTCATTCGGAGCCATGTCTCAATTTCAGGCAAATGGAGAACAATCTTCCAGTCAGCCCCTGTATGGAGAGGGGGAGGCTTTTCATACCGCTCTCCAGAATCAAGCTCCTTCAATACATCTTCACCATCCTGCTCTGTGGTGGGAGTCATGTTTATAAGCATGGGTGATGCATCAGTAGCCATGGGATCCAATTCTTGTGACCTCATGGGGGAAACTGCTATTTCCATGGCTAGTATAGGAAAATCCAAACCATAATTCTTCCCAGAATAGCTGCAAAGACACAAGGAAATAACAGAGACTGTTGTTGATACAAAACTTTGAATTAAAAATGTTTCTAAGCAATAACCCGAATAAGAGAGAAACCATACCCCAGTATTGATTACCTTCTTCCTTATACAAATCCTCTCTCATTAACAACTTTCAGTTTGTTCCTAATTATTAGTTATTGGTTTACCCATAACTTTTAAAACCTTAGTTGGGAAAAATCACAATTACAGTTCTATAAAAACAGCACTTTGCAACAGTCAGTTTGTGCTACAGTGAAAAATGTCTAAAAAGTCACGAACACCAAAATCAGTATTGACAAAGTCAAACAACTTTATTGAAGTTAATGGAGCTGTACTAGATTATGCTGGCAATAAATCTGGCCCTAAGATTTTGCTGAAATTGCTCAGTGACATCATCCCTGCCCAAGAACGTACTGTCATCTGCAAGAACGCAAGCTTAAGACCTTTGCGGCACTTATCAAAGTTTCAGCTGTTTACTCAAGCATTTACCTGAACATGAGTTAGATAGGGAAGTTTTGGAGAATGGTTCACAGCAAGTAATGGGGGATGGTTCAATGTAGACATTAGTTTTCTGAAATTGAAATTCTGGGAGTTTTCTTAGATCAAGAAATATTGCAGCAAGCACATATTTACACAAAAGATCTTTGCCTAAAGTGAATCAAGTTACAGCTTCAAATATAAAGTGCATATCAGGAACTGCCTACTCATTTGATTCCCAATAAAGGAAAAATCATTTAAAGCTAAAGCACTGTATAACTATTATAAATATAAGTGTTTCTAATTAATTTAATTACTTAAAAAGGGATTGTTCATTGGATGGATCATAGTAAGTTTACATTCTATTCTTAAGATATTGTGAATGATTCCTATCAACTTGCACTTGTATTTGCCAGTGTATTTTAACCAATTTCTTCCACTTAACCTATTAGGTGAGAAAGGTAATAGGAATTTTTGATATTATAGTCATTTCTGCCTATACTAATTCTGATGCCATATGTACACAACCGGGACTAATTCAGGATCAAGTGAAAGGAAAAGATAGTTTGTGATGGATTAGGCTATTTAAAAATATGGAAATGATCAATAATAATCACAGAAAAAACAGAAAATAATTGACAACATACATGTCAGTTATGATTAGATAATTTAATATGGATTTCATATTAACCAAATATGTAAGTCCCATTTTTAACTGTTGAGCACAGAAAATCTTTGATATTCTTACAGAAAATTTCCTCATGGATGGATTATGAAAAGGTGTCACAGGCTAGCCTGTGTATCATTTTTTCCATCCAAAAACAAAATCCAGTTTTAAAAAAACCCTTTAAATTAAAGCTTTCTTAAAATTTTCCTTTAAGTAGAACTACATGCTGCATGTAAGCATTATTCCCCAAGAAACAGTGAATTAATGTTGGTAGCGTGTGGCCTGACTTAAGTCAAAATACCTTAAGCATTCTGAAAACCTGCATTAGCTGTGCATTTTAATCAAACCTAATTTCAGAGAAATTCAGATCTGAATTTATGATACAGACCTAGCTATGACATGGCACTTTACTAAACTTAAGACAAGTCATGAAACTCTCTCCAGAGCATTTTTTTTAATGCTCTTCAACACAACAAACTGATATTCAACAGATCTTTGGTAAGACAGAGTGCAACTTAACAAAATCAGTTGTTTTTGCAGGCTGAATCCCTCTAATAGACACTTTGTCAAGCCATCAAATCATAGAAAGTATCTGTCATGGGATGGGGTCCCCAGGCAGCTTAGTGCCCTGCAACAGTATCTATCTACATTTTTGTAACTTTTTTCTTATGTTTACTTTCTACCATATAAGTACACAAAGGGCGTGTTTACATGAGACATTTACTGGGAATAGACTAATTAACTCCACAGTAAATGTCTTGGCATCTATACATAAAGGGCTTTTAGGCTGGAGTAAATGAATAAACTCTGCAGCAGGATAGTACTTGTACTTATTATTTATTTATTATTTATTTACAAGTACTGTCCTGCTGCAAAGATTTTTACATCATAGCACTGTACATGTAGATGCTGACATGGCTGGCTGGGGCATGAGGGTGCTACAGTGCAGGGGTTGCCTGCCAGCTAGCCCTGCACTGGAGCCTCCTGTGTTCCAGCCAGCCTCTCCACACCACATTGAGCTGGGTTGGAGCAGTCCTGGGCTAGCAAGCTGACCCCCTGGTCAACCAGGGCTGACAGCTGGGGCTGTTCTGACCCAGCTCAGTGTGCTGTGGTCCCAGGCACATATGTAAACACGGGGTCCAGGAGCAATTAACTCTGACATGATATGTGCCATAGTTCATTGCATTGCATTAATATGCACATGTAGATACACCCAAAGACTGCCAAATACTGGGGTTCAACACTGCAGTCCTCACTTGAGCAGCATTTTGTGTTTCTACCATATAAGTTCTTCCTTTATGAAGACTGAAATTGAAATCATTAGGTCACAGAAAAGGTAATCAGCTTGTTTCTTTATCAATCTACAGCACTATGTTCACTGACTTGCAGTTCCTGAACATTTAAAGTGGAGCTGCCAGCATCAATTTACTCCTACAACACATGCAGCTGAAGTATCAAAGTACTATCCAAAACCAATCAGATTCTCTCGCAACCTGACGAATTCATAGGCCAATCTAGCTCTGATGGGTAGCCAGACAGGCCAGGTAATAGACTGTTTTTGCTATACTATTTTGATTTTATTTCCCACACTAGTACTATTAAACCATCACTCACATATGAGTCTAAATATGAAATTGGTTTTAGCTTTGTAAAAGTTTAATTGGGCAGCTTTTTACTAGAGTTTTCTACAGTACAATCACAGGGCCACACTGTACGGGACACTTAGCATGTGTTAAATGCACTTAAAATGACAGCATCTGTGTATTCAAGCAGGATAACGCCTGCAAAGTGCATTCATATTGTATTGTTTTATAGCAAAGTTGCACCTTTTCCAAAGGGGAGTATCTCCCGATCAAATGAAGTAACATGTTAAGCTCAAGGCAGGCTGCTCCATGGAAATAATCAGTTGTAGTCCCAGGGCTAACACCAATCTTCCAGGACCTTATCAGAGCCTTGAACTGGCTCCAAGACTGAAAATCAGCAGATTTTCAGTCTCAGCCCTGGGAATGCACTGAATGTCTTCAACTGGCTCCATTGTAGGGCGCTGACAGGATCTAATATTTGGTACAAAACATGTACAGCCTGCACTGTAGCAAGCTGTGCATGTTATGAGATTGTAGTAAGCATTACTGTGCCACTGCTCAGAACATGTTCTAATTTTAAAACATATTAGTGTCTGCATGACAAGGCTCACAGAGAGAGATTCTATGAGGATTTCTATGAGGAGAGTTCTCAGTTACTATATAGCTTATATTTATAAAAATGTCCTAATATTCAGAAATTAAACCAATATGATATATCACTATAGCAATAAGACTGTATGGAATCAATATTTATATCTGTATCTTTAAATTGCTGGTCATTTTTCAAATCCATCTTGACTCCCTATACATTTATCAGCTTCCATGCAGTCAGAGGTGACTTGAGCAAAGTGCGGGGCCTGGGGCAAATCAGCTGCTGCAGGGCCCCGCCCCCGGATGCAAGGAAGCCAGGGGCAAATTGGTGGGGGCAGGGGTGGCAAGTGGCTAGAGGCACCAGATTCGGCAGCGGGTGGGGGTGCCAAGTGGCCAGACGTGAAGCTGGCAGCAGTGTGGAGTCACTGCAGCCACTCTGCTTAGCTCTGCAGGGTCCCCCAAAGCGCAGGGCCTGGGATGGTCGCCCTGATTCCACCCTCCCCCACCAGAAACAGCCCTATATGCAGTTGCCACAACTATTCAGTGCAAATATTAGGAGAGACAAATCTCTCCATTTGGAAACAGTCCATATTACAACTTGAGAGTTCTAACCCAAAGTGTACAGTATAAAAAGGTAACTTTTAATAGACAATAATGTTGCTATTTTAAGCACTTTCAACATTATTTTCTCCTAATTCTGAAATGTTTGTATTACCACTGTCCCTATTTCTCTAAGTTTACCTCCGCCAACTGATCCCATCTTCATATTAAAGTAATTATTTCTCTTCCACTAAATGATGTAGCACACAAGAAGTACAGCACAGCTCATGATTATTTCACATGCACCTGTTTCTCCATACAAACAGTAAATCCTTTTCAGTGTGATTCAGCTCCAGAAACAATACTAAAGCAACAAACATACTCCAAAGTAGTAAAAAAAAAAATTAAAAAAAATTTAAGTATGTTCCCACAGAAGCAAAAAACCAAAACAAACAAACAAACAAAACAAAACAAAAAAACTAACCCATGCTTCATGAAGAATATAGTTCTAGCTTTGATGCAGTGAGCAGGTTTGTGATCAGCAGTCTTTAGGAACCTGCTGACTGTTTTTGTTACCATACAATTGACTCTGTAGACTGGCTCTCTAGCATTATAGCTAATACCACGTTTATCCCGGTTTCTGTTAGAGTAGTCCAGCAAATCCTTTTCATTTCATCAGGTCATAGTGAATAGCAACATTTTGGAAAAAAAAAAAAAGTATTAAGCAATTCTAAAATCAAACATTTTCTTTTATCTACTTTTAAAACTTGCTTAGAAATATAAGACAACGTACCATGGATGTTTACTAGCAAGGCCTGGGTACGTTATTTCTTTTTAAAAGCCCACAAATACTTGGAAGGAGAAACTGTTTCAGATAGAAATTACTGAACCTGAACAGTGGTACAGATAATTAATTGTACTGTTTCTTGGCAAAATCAAAAGGCATTGTAATCCAGCTATGCAGCCACAAAAGAAAGCTGAAAGATTGATTCTCTTGCTCTGTGTCTTGGAGTAGTGTACACAGTGTACTGTTCTTTTTAATATCAGGAACAGTAAGCTCCTCCCCTCCTTCCCTTTCCCTGTCAGCTCTCACTTCTCCAACTGCTGCAAAACAAGATAACTCC